TGTAGAAAAAAAATGTCAAAAGCCAAAAACAGCAGCTGTAAAAATGTCCAGTGTGCATGAGGACTTACAGTTGTGCTTTTCTAATTTTCCATGACTTTCTCAGAACTGTTCATCCAGATCTTTTCATTCTGGACACCGTTGCCAGAAACTATACCCAGGATCTGTCCATTTACATTTCAGTGCAGTACAGTACACCTTGGTCGAGCTTGTGATTGGATAGTGACGGTGCAAAATTTCACTAATCATGAGGTCCATCATGCAATACAATAAAACCTGATAAGCGTATTCTGCTCTCTCACAGTCTGTATGTTGGTATGTAGATCATTGCATGCTAGTTAAATAAAAGACAGACTGTGTACTAGTCTTGTGCATTTCGTTACATTTCAATTGTAACAGATGTCAACAAATCCGAAAAAAGTTATAACAAAATTAATGAACGCATTTTTTTAAATTAGTTTCATTCAGATGATGTCATATGATGTGATAGTAGTTCAGGCCCATGGGGAAATTAACTCAATTTTCCAATTCATTCGATAATTTGAATTTGAGTAAATTTGTGATTTGAATTGAATTTGTAATTGTCACAGTCAGTCAGTTCAGTTTCACAGTCTAATGTAATTCTTAGGTTTCAAAAATTTGGGGTCGCCGAATTTAGCATTTTATTTATTCCGTTTTGAATAGTTTCATTATAGGAATAATGAATCCACCTGAAATATCAAAACTGAAAATTAATTTATAGCAATCTTCCAAAAAAAAAAAAGGAACGTGTTTCGAATCCACCCAGACCAACGACAAAACAAATGGCAAAGATACTAAATGAATTCCGAAAAAAAAATTCCAAAAACAAATTGGTTCAACATAATGAATATGATGAAATGAAATTCTTCAATTAACAAGTGTAACAAAAACAAAACAAAAATTGCCAGAGTGCACATGTCTATGGTGTGCTATTAAAACAAAATTTAGTTAGAGTGTATGTATAGCCAAACTTTTTTTATTATTTGGTTAAATTAGGGAATAGTTAAAACCCCTGTCCTCATTAGGGAAATATCATCACAGAGATGTAACAGGAAGTTAAAGGAAATCTCCCAAAGTAAGGGGAATTCCCCTCTTAAGCATTTGTCCCCGGAATAGGTGTCCTCATTGAAAGATTCACTTCTTATCTCTTTTTCTGTGGACAGCTCTAACATTATGTATTTCCCATTACAGTAATACCTCAGTTTAAGAACGCCTCGGTTAAAGTATTTTTCGGTTTACAAATAAAAACACTGAAAATAATGCCTCGGTTTACAAATTTTGTATGAATTTTGTTCGCAATACGAAGTGTATGTCAGTGCTGATTTTTTAATGCAATTTCTGGCTCTTTTTTTTTCTTCACTATAGCTCACAGAATTAGCAGTCACTTTCCCCAAAGTTAACGGAAATGTTGTTTCTTTTAAAAACTAAAAAAAAACATTGTTTGCCCCCCCTTTCCTGACCAGCCAGGCTGCATGCTCTGAAAAGGGTCTGGTATGGATTTTGGGGAGGACCCCCACGCCATTTTATTTTAAATTTTGGCATGGGAGTTCCCCTCAAATCCATACCAGACACAAAGGGCTTGGTATGGATGGAAAGGGGGACCCCACGCAGTTTTTTAAATTATTTTTTTAATTGAGGGCAATTCTTTTACATTCAGCTGTCAGTGGGGAACCCCGCTGACAGCTGAAATATTAACACTTGGTTGTCACTACTAAAATGCCGCATGACTTGACTAAATAACTCATATTTATTAGTGTTTACTTTTTTCTGATCTCCGGAACAGATTAATTGGTTTTTATTGCATTGCTATGGGAAATGGCATTTCGGTTTAAGAATTTTTCGCTATAAGAAAAGTCCTGCAGAACGAATTCAATTCTTAAACCAAGGTATTACTGTACTTTCTTTCTCAGTGGCAATGGCCACCAAGACAAATAGAATCTCCCTAATAGGGATAAAGACTACAATAAAAAGATGACAGAGCAGCTAACCCTTTACCAATACAAAACTAAAACAGAGGTTTTGCCTAGAAATACACTTTCAATATTATTTAGTACACAACTAAATGAAATGTGAGTCTTTTAATCCGCCTATAGTCACGTACAATAATATGTTAATTGGAGTTTCAGTGATGAAAATTAACGGGGTTGGTCAAAAATCTTTCATAATGCTGGAAATGTTCTCTTTTGTAGGTGAGAAAATTGAACTATCCTTTCGTTGTGCAGGTGCTCGTGCATAAAATAAAACATTTTTTTTTCGCTGAAAAGAAGAAATTGCATCTACCACATTTCCCAGGTGATCATTTAGAAAACTTGCAATTACTGGAGCTTTGATTGGTATTTATAGAAAGGGAGAGAGTACAGATAAGTATGCATTGCTGCTGATCTGTTATCATGAAATTACAGAAATTAATTACATTTTGCAGATATGCTTGTTTATGTCAATGCATGCAAACCGTGACCCTTTGGCTGGAGGCATAAATACAAAGCTCAGGCTATTGCAACTTGCACATTCGCCTGTGATTATCTCACTGATTTGCTTATTGCCAAATGTGTCTATGTTCAGGCACAGACATGTTATTTATACATAAATAGAACAGTCTACCTAATCATGTTCTACACAAAAAGATGATAGTATGATGTACAGATTTTACAATTATGGAAGAAATAAAACTATATAAGACATATATTGTAAAGACAAGGGAATTTGTGATCATGTCACCTTACGAAGGTCATACATGATGCATGGTTGCAGGCAGGGGCATATTTACCACAAGGCAAACAAGGCGTTTGCGTAGGGCAGGATTTTTAAGGGGGCGCTGCCTCCCCCCCCCCCGGAAGAAGGGACATGTGTAGCAGGTGACCAGGGAACCAGGGACAATCTTCAGGGCGGAGAGTGGAGAGTCCACCTGGAGGGAAACAGGGCGGGCAGCCTGACAGGGGGTGATCATCTGCTAGCAGATAGCTGACCACGGCAGGGAGAAGGGAGAGCTCACATACACACATTGGTGAAGTGTGGGAACTCCAGTACACAATATCTGCTGATCTCTCCCCAATCCTTTGCTTATACCTCCTCTGGCAACCGTCCAGTTGTCCTTGTCCTCCAGTACTCTCCCGCTGGGTGATTGGTGATTCCCCCCCCCCCCCCCCCCCCCATGGCTGCCACATGCTCCAGCCCCACCTCCCTCTGAGTCTGCTTTCAACAAGATCACCAAAGAGACAGAAAGCAGACATCCAATCACAGCACAGCTCATATGACAGGAGTTTAAGAGTTTAAGCTGCAGCTGGAGGAAAGGATCCTGGCAGCTCATCCTTCTCTATGTCTGCCAGGTGAAGGCAACAATCGTCCAACATCTCTCTCTCACCCTCTCCCTCCCCCTCTCTCTCTCCCTCCCTCCCTCTCTCTCTCTCTCCCCCTCTCTCTGTCTCTCTTCCTCCGTCCCTTTCTTTCTTTCTTTCTTTCTTTCTTTCTCTTTCTTTCTTTCTTTCTTTCTTTCTTTCTTTCTTTCTTTCTTTCTTTCTTTCTTTCTCTTTCTTTCTCTCTTCTTTCTTTCTCTCTCTTTCTTTCTTTCTCTCTCTCTCTCTCTTTCTCTCTCTCCCTCTCTCTCTCACATCCTATTTCTCTCCCTCTTTCCCTCTCTCTCCCCACTCCCTCCTTCTCTCTTTCTCAATCTCTCTCCCCCTCTCTCTTTCTCCCTCCCTCTCTCTCTTTCTCTCTCTCTTTCTCTCTCTCTCTCTCACTCTCTCTCACACACCCTTCACTCGCTCTCACTCTCTTTCTTTCTCTCCCCCTCTTTTGCTCTTCCTCTCTCTTTCTTTCTCTCTTTTGCACTTCCTCTCTCTTTTTTTTTCCCCTCTCTGTTTCTCCTCTCTCTTTTTTTCTCCTCTCTCTTTTTCTTTCTCTCATATGGGGGGGGGGGGGCAATTTTTGTGTTGCCTAGAGCAGCACAAAAACAAAATACACCACTGGTTGCAGGAAAGAAAATCTCTTGATTCCCTCCTGTGGAGCTATAGTGTTCTCCCAGGTGGGTGCCGCCATCCCGGCTGAGAGACCACAGTTCTTACTGCTAGCGGATAGCAATAATGTAAAATCTGACAAACTAGTTGTACCCAAGTCATACCACAATTGACTTGGGTACAATCAGCCTGCCCATAGCTGGTTTGAACCTTCACCAGTCCCTGCTGAACTGGTCAAGATTGAAACCATCTATTGCTGGCTTTAATCAGAAAATCTATGAAAATGAGAAAAACACTGTTCCTTAGCTCTTCTGAAATATGGTCAAGCATACTCTAGCTTTAGAAGTAAATCTTCCAGATAATTAACTGAGCAATGATTTCTACAGAGGGTGTTTGTATGGACAGCAATTTAAAGTATGTGTAAACCCTCACTTTGTAAAACAACCCATTCAGTTTAACCACTTGCCTACAGGGCACTTATACCCCCTTCCTGCCCAGGCCAATTTCCAGCTTTCAGCGCTGTTACACTTTGAATGACAATTGCGCGGTCATGCAACACTGTACCCATATGACATTTTTATCATTTTTTTGTGACAGATAGAGCTTTATTTTGGTGGTATTTAATCACCTCGTGGTTTTTTATTTTTTTCTTAAACAAACCAAAAACCGCTGAAAATTTAAAAAAAAAAAACTTTTTTCTTAGTTTTTGTTATAAAATTTTGTAAATAAGTGATTTTTCTCCTTCATTGATGTGCGCTAATGAGGCTGCAGTGATGGGCACTGATAGGCTGCACTGATGGACACTGATAGGTTGGCACTGATGGGCACTGATGAGGAGGCACTGCTAGGTGGCACTGATGGGCATTGACAGGCTTCACTGATGGGCACTGAAAAGCAGCACTGATAGGCGACACTGATATATGGCACTGATAGGAGGCACTGACTGGCATTGATAGGCGCTACTGACTGGCACTGTTAGGTGGCACTAATGCACACTGATAGGTGGTACTGACTGGCACTGATAGGCGGCACTGACTGGTACTGATAGGTGGCACTGATTGGCATTGATAGGTGACACTGACTGGCACTGATGGGTGACACTGAAAGGCAGCTCAGATGGGCACTCATATGTGGCATTGATGTGGCACTGATGGGCACTGGCATGTGGCACTGTTCAGCACTGACAGCTGGCACTGATGGACACTGACAGGTGGCACTTCTGGGGCCACACTGATCATCAGGGCACACTGATCATCAGTGCCCTGATGATCAGTGTACATGTCCCCTCTGAGGGATGCCAATTACCGGCTCTCCTCTCGAGCTGTCAGCGTGAGAGCTCGTGAGGAGAGAAATGCCGACATCTTCGGCTCTTTCCGTAGATCGGTGATCCGCTGTGTCCGAGGGACACAGCTCACCTCCAATCGCCGCGCTGCGCGCTCCCTGAGCCGCGCATGCGCGGTGAGAATGGGAGGACGTCATATGACATCCTCCCAGAACAAGAGACCCACCTTGCGCCCGTCATTGGACTATATGGCGGGCGGGAGGTGGTTAAAATAGAGGTGAAGGCAAAATGTGTGTATGTATGTGTGTGTGTGTGTATATAAATACCCTTTTTCTTTTATTTATAAGTGATCATATGACCTCTGTTCTCAGCTACATAGGGGCTTGGGGATGTGGGGGTGGACACTGCATGAAGGGTGTGTTAGCAGGAGGCAGATAAGGAGCAATACACTGATATTCACAGTGAGGAGCTGTGCAGGGGAGTGTGTCAGGACAAGTCTGACCAATGGAGGACAGGCAGGTTGGGGGATATTTGAGTATTTAATGTATGTAAAGGCATTTTTTTTCTAGCTTTAAATGAAGTGAGGAAGGCTACAGCTGGCCATAGATGAGTCAGTTTTTTTTTTGTTCAACCAGCCAGTTGAATTAAAAAATTACCCAATTCTCCCATCCACACATTTTAGGTGGATGAGGGAATCCTCCTACTGTGTCTTTCTATACCCTGATCAATGCTGCAGGCTTCTGTTCAACTACATTGTCTATACATGGATCGAAATTCGGTCAGTCCCTGCTGGACAGTCTGAATTTTGATCCATGTATGGCCAGCTTTAGACTTTCTGTCAAGTTTTTATTACTGTTTGTGTCCCGCTTGGGTCATTCACCTCTCTATTTGCCCTAGAGACCATAAGGCACAAAGTGAGTGAAATCACAAAAATTTCAGCTGTTATAAGTAGAGATGAGCGAATTATTCAAAAATTAGATTCGGCTGATTCGCCGAATTTCAGGAAGAAATTCGATTTGATGCGAATTAATTCGCACTACGAAGTTAACTTATAAAAAGGGTTTCTAGGCTTCAGAGAGCCTTTAAATTAGTGCAGAACACTGTACCTTTAATTTAAATGCCCTTGGAGATGAGGAAGGAGAAGGAGAAGGAGAAGGAGAAGGATGAGAAGAAGGAGAAGGAGAAGGATGAGAAGAAGGAGAAGGAGAAGGATGAGAAGAAGGAGAAGGATGAGAAGAAGGAGAAGGATGAGAAGAAGGAGAAGAAGGAGAAGGAGAAGGATGAGAAGAAGGAGAAGGAGAAGGATGAGAAGATGGAGAAGGAGAAGGATGAGAAGAAGGAGAAGGATGAGAAGAAGGAGAAGGATGAGAAGAAGGAGAAGGAGAAGGATGAGAAGAAGGAGAAGGATGAGAAGAAGGAGAAGGAGAAGGATGAGAAGAAGGATCAGAAGAAGGATGAGAAGAAGGAGAAGGATGAGAAGAAGGATGAGAAGAAGGAGAAGGATGAGAAGGAAGAAGAAGGATGAGAAGAAGGAAAGGATGAGAAGAAGGAGAAGGAGAAGGATGAGAAGAAGGAGAAGGATGAGAAGAAGGAGAAGGAGAAGGATGAGAAGAAGGAGAAGGAGAAGGATGAGAAGAAGGAGAAGGATGAGAAGAAGGAGAAGGATGAGAAGAAGGAGGAAGAAGAAGGGAGAAGGAAGAAAGAAGGATGAGAAGAAGGAGAAGGATGAGAAGAAGAAGGATGAGAAGAAGAAGGAGAAGGATGAGAAGAAGGAGAAGGATGAGAAGAAGGAGAAGGATGAGAAGAAGAGAAGGATGAGAAGAAGAAGAAGAAGGAGAAAGGATGAGAAGAAGGACAGTTCTGTGACAGTTTCTGTCTATTTCTGACAGTTCTGTGACATTCACTCCATACAGCGGTTTCAACCGCTGTATGGAGTGAATGTCACAGAACTGTCAGAAATAGGCTATTTCTGACAGTTCTGGGACATTCACTCCATACAGCGGTTGAAACATTGTATCTATTTGTTTCCATAAATTTCTTCTGAGGATGAGGATGAAGATAAGAAGAAGAAGAAGAAGAAGAAGTAGGATGAAAATAAGAATAATTCCAATCCGGCAAAAAGTGTATCTGCAGAGCTCCTCTAAGTGTATCTGCAGAGCTCCTCTAAGTGTATCTGCAGAATAGAGGAGCTCTGCAGATACACTTTTTGCCGGCTTGGAATTATTCTTATTAAGAAGAAGAAGAAGTAGGATGAAAATAAGAATTAATTCCAAGCCGGCAAAAAGTGTATCTGCATGAAAATAAGATTAATTCCAAGCCGGCAAAAAGTGTGTAACTGCAGAGCTCCTCTAAGTGTATCTGCAGAGCTCCTCTAAGTGTATCTGCAGAATATAGAGGAGCTCTGCAGATATACACTTTTTGCCGGCTTGGAATTAATCTTATTTTCATCCTACTTCTTCTTCTTCTTCTTCTTCTTCATCCTCTTCATCCTCATCCTTCTTCTTCTTCTTCTTCAGGATGAGGATGAGGATGAAGAAGAAGAAGAAGAAGAAGAAAATAGATGAAAATAAGAATAATTCCAAGCCGGCAAAAAGTGTATCTGCAGAGCTCCTCTAAGTGTATCTGCAGAGCTCCTCGAGGATGATGAAGAAGAAGAAGAAGAAGAAGAAGTAAGAAGTAGATGAAAATAAGAATTAATTCCAAGCCGGCAAAAAGTGTATCTGCAGAAGTCCTCTGCAAAGTGTATCTGCCAGAATAAGAGGAGCTCTGCAGATACACTTTTTGCCGGCTTGGAATTATTCTTATTTTCATCCTACTTCTTCTTCTTCTTCATCCTCATCCTCATCACTCAGAAGAAGAAGAAGAGGATGAGGATGAGGATGAAGAGGAAGAAGAAGAAGAAGTAGGATGAAAATAAGAATTTAATTCCAAGCCGGCAAAAAGTGTATCTGCAGAGCTCCTCTAAGTTATCTGCAGATACACTTAGAGGAGTTCTGCAGATACACTTTTTGCCGGCTTGGAATTATTCTTATTTTCATCATACTTCTTCTTCTTCTTCTTCTTCATCCTCATCCTCATCCTCTTCTTCTTCTTCTGAGGATGAGGATGAGGATGAAGAAGAAGAAGAAGAAGTAGGATGAAAATAAGATTAATTCCAAGCCGGCAAAAAGTGTATCTGCAGAGCTCCTCTAAGTGTATCTGCAGAGCTCCTCTAAGTGTATCTGCAGAATAGAGGAGCTCTGCAGATACACTTTTTGCCGGCTTGGAATTCTTCTTATTTTCATCCTACTTCTTCTTCTTCTTCTTCTTCTTCATCCTCATCCTCATCCTCTTCTTCTTCTTCTTCTTCAGATGAGGATGAGGATGAAGAAGAAGAAGAAGTAGGATGAAAATAAGAATTCCAAACCGGCAAAAAGTGTATGTGCAGAGTTCCTCTCTTTCTGACAGTTCTCTGACAGCTTCTTCACATGTACAGCGGCTGAAACATCTGTATCCTAAATGGAAACTAATAGATACAATGTTTCAACCGCTGTACATGTGAAGGAACTGTCAGAGAAATGTCAGAAATAGCGGAGCTCTCTGCAGGGACACTTTTGCCGGCTGATCGGGAAAAATCCGATTCGCGCACCCGAAGTAGGCAAATATTCGGATTCGACGCGAATCGAATTTTTCCTGAAATTCGTATCGAATTCCGGTTCGCCTGGTTCGATTCGCTCATCTCTAGTTATAAGAACAAGTGAAGGGAAATTGTTCAATGGGAAGAAAAGTTTCATGGACAACTTTCTAAAATAAGAATTGCCCACACTGAGATTTCCTCACAATTCCTGTTCTGTCTCCAAAATTTGAAGTGAATGGTAATCTCCCCAACAGGATAGAAACCAAAATATATCCTGATAGGTGTTTTAATCCTTCACAGGTCTTTAAAAATGTTTTAGCTTTATACATACTTTAAAGAGTCTAAAAGCAACAGTCCTGTCTGTTTTTGCACAAACATGTAGTGGTGTTCCTTGATCAAACAGAGAAATGGGAAGGCCAAATTACTGCATAGATTAGCATTTTTGACCCAGTTTTAGAAAAAACAAAGAAAGTTGCAGAGTAACCTAAATGAATCCCTTTGCCCAGCTGCTTAATTACCCCAGTAAGGCATTCACAGCCTGCCCAGTGTCTACATTAGCTAGCTAAATAAATGAATAGGGAGCCCATATAGAATTGTATGGGTCCATCTCCGAAGCGTCTACAGTGGTTTGTATACATAAGGGAAATCCACGTCTTTGATTGGGCCAGATCAGAATTCTTTGACTCCATTTCCTGGCTGCAGTAAGATGCAGTTAATCCATCAATCTGATTAAATAGTGTTAAATAGTGAATTTTACCCAATGGGGAAAAATAACAGTGGAATAACTCAAACCATTTAAAATTAAAATTTTAAATAGTGCATTTTAATATACCAATGGTTTGCTTAGTGCCGCAATTTTACCCAATAAACAGTGGAATAACAAGAATTCTCAGTTTGCTTAGTGCATATGATGAAATAGTGTTTAATTTGAGTATCTATTCATGTGTAAGTGAAATTTAAAAACATGGATTCCTGCTCGCACATTATTGAATGAGCTCAACTTTACCTCACTTGCCAAGCTATGCCAATTTATACTCCTTCACTGCCTATCAGGCTCATCGTCATTGCTGTATAACTGCAAAAACAAGTCACCTCATCTAACATTTTTTTTTTTTTTTTTCATAACTGACTTTTAGTGATTCCCAAGAAGGATCCAGAACAATAGAAAAAAAGACAAACATACCAGCTGGAAATTTTAGGTCACAACATTTGCAAGGGACTTTAGAGGTAAAGATAAAACAGTCCAGGCAAATAGGGAAATATAAAGACCAGTAAAGGTTGGCTTAGCAGTTTGTTGTGGATCAATAAGAAGTGTTTGTTCCCTTATGTCTTATGTTGATAGAATATATTCTATTACATCAATCATGATAGCATTGTGTAGTTTGGTCTTAGAGGCTTCAAATGGCTTCAGTGGAGGCGGGTATAGCTTTGACTACCCTTGACATCATAGGGAAAGATACATAAAGAACTGAAAGGGAAAGGAGAGGAGTAGTAGTGTAGAGAGGAAAGGGGAAAAGAACACTGTATGCTTCCCAAAGAATTAGAGCCACCTCCCAGTGCTGATACGGGGGGGGGGGGGGGGGGGGGGGTTCAGGGCATTTTCATTTAGGGTCCAGAAAAATCAGGCAGAGGAAGGCCCAGCAGATATATTTTAGGAGGGTGAGGTGATCCAGGAGTAAAACAATTGATGGATTGGGATATAAACAGTTTGTCAATATGGTTTGCAAAGTGGGTAATGCCAATATATGCATTGAAGAGGTCCAAAGTGTTTTTTTATAACACCAGTACCTATTATCAGCAGTTGCATAAAAAGGTTTGTAGCAGCGGTTTTATACTGGCTTTCTTTGCCTAACATAAAAGACAAACTTTTAGATATTTAAGATCATATTAGTTGCCAAGTCTCTAAGGGCGTTGCTCCTATACATATGTTTTTACTTTGGGGTTTTAGGGAGAGTGAGCAGGCCAGCCAGGTTATAGCTGAAACACTTATACCTGAAGGAGTCACTGTAGTAATGTCCAGGTCTTCCCTACCTTTGCCTCGCAGCCAGGCACAAGGTATCTTCAAAGCCAGGGGCACACACTTTCGCTTGTTGTCTCCAATGATCAGTCTAGTGGTTGTTGTTTTATTTATTGGAGAACTTGGATAAGGATGGGGAATTTAGTAGAATACTCCAGGAATATAACTAATTATAGTAGCAGCCTTTAGCTGAGTCCAAATGCTAGGAAGGAGTTTAATAGGGGAAAGCTGACTGGTGTCCTGAAAAGCACTGTCTGTTTCAGACCCATGCTGACTATAAAGCAGCAGAATGGTAGCAAAGTACACTCAGTCCCCAAGATCTCCAATATCTGTACTCAAAAGGCCCAAGGACAGCATGGTAGCCTCCTTACAGTCTTCCAAGTGATTCCCACCAGTGTTGCCAGACATATCTTTGGCAGACAGCTCCCCTCACTCAGTTTACTGAAGAACCAGGGTCACTCTCTCTCTTACTTTAGGTCCTCAGGGGTTGCCCACCTGCGACTACATGGCAGCAAGTGCCTTCTCCAAGGCCAGTGCAAGCCTCCAGGAAAGACTCAATATGCGCAAAGAATAAATACCCTCTCCCAGCAATCCTTAGGGCTACACTCCCTGGGATTGGCTGGAGTGACATTATTATTTATACTGTGTTCTGCACCACCTATACCTACATAACCTTCCTAGGTTACTTGGATACAGAATAAACCAGGCGCAGAACTAGCAGCACTGAGCAAGCACTATTAACAATTGCAGCTCTCTATTAAGCAGAAAGCCTAATTATATTTTCCTGACAGTTCTCCTGGTAAGCAGAGGAACCAGTTATAATCTACTTATCCTAGCACCTATTTAGGGTGTTACATCTTGCTTGCAATTCACCGTACAATTTTGGAAAATGCTGTATGTATACAAGTCTCTACTGAATTAGACATAACAGTGCAGTGTGACTGCATAGGCTGCACATCCTACAGCAAAGTAAGAACATACTACTAACCATTGTAAAGTAAAAAAGCATTGTTGTAAAATTTATAAAGTATGAGCTACAAGGCTGGCTACTTGTTTATGTTTTGGTAAGCTAAATGATTCATCCTAAGCTTTAGATTGTGAATAAACATTTATCCTGCAGCGCAAAATAATAAATGCCATGGCAGCAATATAAGGAGAAAGCTCAGAAATGGAGAAGCACTATGTGCACCATATGAGCTGGGAATTCCATAGAGTGTGCAATTGCTTCCAGATGTGTGCTGCTAGAATACTTATTGCTATAGAAAAATAATGTGCTTGATTAACAGGGCAGTTGTCAGAAAGGATCTGGGGCACCGGAGGAGTCCTGTGCCTGTACATTAACTGATTCAGAGCTAGCAGAGCAATATGTATAAATAAAAACATCAGCACTGTGGGGGATAAAGCATAGCAATTTTTCCCACCTCTCCAAGTACCTGGTTGCAATTAATAGAAAAAGCAATAGTGCAGCTTTACCCCATCAGTGATCTGTGTAATTAAGCTTAGCTGAGCTAGAATATTTTCTGCATAAATTAGCCCTCCACATGTGCTGCAGTTATGGCCTGTTGTCTGCCAAGCTAGATTAAGAAAGAGGGTTCTCTTCTAGTCACCCCTAGGTGATTGATGCCTCTGCTACTCAAACGTAGCACCTTATTATTTAATGTATGATTTAACAATTAGTGTGCAAACATTCCTGAGCTAAGGCAAAGGTTTCCATATTCACTTGTGTTTGACATTACATTTGACATTACTGGGTAGCCTGTGGATTCTGCCTGTCATTAAATCATATATTTGTATGATACACTGTCTGTTAATGCACTTACATTCCATTCCTTTTTTTTTTTTTTTAAACAAAGAATATTATTATCGCTGGGTGCTGGGTTTGCTTTTTCTTATAGGAGCACCATTGCATGCCATTTATACATTCTCTGTGTTTACTTGGGTTTTCTTGGTATTCTAGTTTCTACCCACAATCCAAAAACATGCCGATAGGTCAAAGTATGCCTTAAACTAAGAAAAAAAACACATCTTGCAGTTTACTAGATTTTCTGCAGGTACAGAAAAATACCAATTGATCCTTTCAGAAATTAATTTTCCTTGTAACTTTTTGTATACTGAAATTAAATCTCAAACATTATCAGCTATCCCTGCCATTGTCTGTGAACTATAGGACACCTCCCCTTTGCTATGGAGTTGAGGAGAATGTAAGTTTTTTTCTAGTTCCAACCAGGAGATCAGCCTAGGTAGACAACATGGTTCTCCTATAGATACAGAGCATTGTCATCTGAGCACAGGATGTGTGTTGTTGGCAGGATCAGGAGGGAAAAATAAAGGTAAAACAGGCTGAAAAAAGAAAAGAAATGCAGCCACCGCAACTAAAGACTAGAAAGCTTTACTATATTACATTTTTGTTTGTGTGTTTAGAGATTCTTTTACAGACTTCCAACCAATGCTGGCCTATTCCTATGTCTATGACTGCAATAGTGTTATTATATGTTAACATAGAGTAATGTGATGTGAAGGACCGCTGTAATGAAAAGTATTAGTCTTGTATCTGGATGTGTTTAAGAAATACAAACATATTATTCTGTATATTAATTATATTTATTTATTTTCCATTTTTGTTAATTCTATTATTAATATCATAGAGGAATTATATAGTGCCAACAGTTTGCGCAACACTTTACAATGTGAGGGCAAACAATACAGTTACAATACAATTGAATACAGGAGGAATTAAAGGGCCCTGCTCCTTAGAGCTTACAATCTAATTACATATACCTTTTTTTCTCAACATTTATATATAGACAAAGCTGTCCAGCAAAACAGACATTGGCAGGGGATGGGACAAATAATAGCACAGCAAGTGATGCTTACAGTAATTAAAGTGTTACTAAACCCAGGCCCCTGCATCCACTATACCTGGTCTCCCATAGTACACACAACATGGAAATGCAATTATTTTAGTAAATATAAACTGCTACATACCTTTTCTCATCAGCAGTTAGAGCAGTCATGTGACTTCAGCAGAGCACAGGTTAAAGCTTGTAGGAGGAGTTTTCTTTCTGCTCTAGGAGGATGTGAAACCTCTGACTCTCTGTCTCAGTGCTGATTGGCCCTGTGCTGATCACATGCACCCTCCCAAGAAAAAAAAACCTCTCTAGCAATACACACCAAACTGAGCATGTGCATGTGACCACGGGTTCCGTCTGTATCAGGTGGTCATTTCAACAAGAGGAGGGGCAGAGAAGAAAGGATCAAACAGCCTTTTTACACAATGCAGAGGATTAACCTCTTAGGTTCCACAGTGAGTATAAGAAGCATGCTTTACTGCATATGCAGACTGATTTTACTGTTGTGGGTTTAGTAACACTTTAAATTTCATTCACATAATCTGAATCTTCATAAAAAGACAGCTCCTTCCAATGGATGTGAAATTAAAAAAGGAATTGATATGCTGGTTGCTAACATTACATTTATTAATGCAATTACCATTTAGCTGTTTATTGCAGTTATCAGAATACAATAATAATTGTGACTGCAATCCTTAAAGAATAAGTTCTTTTTGCATGTAAAAAAAAGTGTGCATTTACTATTTTTTTTTTCTTATGAGCCTGGAAAGCATTGCATCCGCGATCATCAGATTGTTGGTGCCATGTCAGGCTCCTGCAGACTGTCAGTGTACCTGTCTGTTCCTGGACTAAAGAAACTGCCTGTCCTTATCAGAAGTAAGGGCAATCAATGAACTATGACGATGCTCACAAGCGCCCTCATAGTTAATTGAGAAGTACAAGCTATCAGCTGCAAAATACTGTCAGTACTTATAGTCTATTAACCTCCCTGGCGGTATTCCTGAGTGTAGCTCGGGGTAAAGTTTCAGTACCACAAGCGGTAACCCCGAGCTACACTCGGGCTTACCATGCGGTGCTGCTCCACGATCCCTCGATCACTTACCTTGTCCTGCGCTCCCGCGATGTCCTTCTTGCAGTGTCCCCGGCAATGTAATCCGGCGGATGCCGGCATCTGTCATCTGAGTACCATCCCCTACGAGCGTTGGGATGTACGGGGGACGGAACGGTGGGAAATTTGAAAATGACAAAAAGTGACATTCACTAAAATCACTAAAATCACATAGTATAACATTACTGTATCAAACCATTTCACATACATTTTGTCCCTAGTGCTTTGTCCTGTGCCCTGCCTGCATTTTTACTGTTCTTTCTGCCTGGAAACTGAGAAACGTCCATGGCATCCAAAAAGCGTCCCTTTAGGTCAAAAGCAGTTTTATACCAGCTAGAATACAGCAATAGGAAATCAGAACTACTTGCAGAATTGAGTGATAATGATTTGTGGGGAAATTCGTCATCAGACACTGAAAACGATTTTGTGACTTTGCTCAGTGATGTGCAAACTTGGAAATATATTTCAAATTTCAGTGTTTTTGGTTTGATTATATTATTGAATTAAATGTATTATTATATTATTATTTTTTTTTATGATTATTTATTAAATTATAATTTATGATTTCGTGTTTCAAGTTTTATCTTACCCGGATGTTTACTAGACTCTTGTTCGGGCAGATTTCAGTGAGTTATTCCTAAAAATTACAGGCCTACAATAAAAAAAATACATATTTCCATGCAAAAAAAGTACCACTTTGAGCACAGAAATATGGACATAATCAGACTGCTAGGGAGGTTAATTCACAGAACTCTGTTAATGAATGATGTGGCCATGTGAGTGGAGCCCACAGGGCTGCGCATTTTCCAGTTGTGACAATGGCTGTGGGGAGAAGATCCCTGGCCTGCTGTCACAGGAAGGAGGGAGGGGGAGTCAGGAGAAAGCTGCAGGTGCAGGAACATGTTACATGTTCCACCCTAAAAATGGTTGGAACATGTAACATGTTCCTGAAGGTGAGCGTATCCTTGAAAATCAATCACAATAAATCATTTCAATAAGATCCCTATACAGGTTGGGGACATATTGTGGGGAGTATTTTTGAATAACTTAAAGTAGAGCTCCAGGTAAAAACGTTGTAACAGTGCAGTGATGGTGTGCCCCCACTGCATGGATCAGCTACTTGTTTTTCTAAGCTCATACTCACCTGACCCGCCGAACCTACAGAAAACTGTGCTCCCCCTTGGTCCAGCAGTGGTCTGCCTGTGGAGCATGCATTGAGCGTGCTGACGTCAGGAACAGTCCATTTACTTGACCACTGAACCATAGGAGGAGGAGGGGCAGGAGCCGGTCTTGTGCGGGTAGGATCTGCAGGTCAGGTGAGCATATCTTCGGTGTCATCTCCCCTAGAACAAAATGAGCATTTGACCCATGCAATGCTGGCACAGCCCCACTGCATGGGCAAAAAAAAGTTTCCTGGATTCTGTTTTAAGCCTTTACAAGGAGTTTTAAACTATTCCATCTTCTAATGCACAAGGCAATCAGAAGATCTTGCACTGTAAATGGCTGGTTTTCTGCCTTCTTGGCATTAGAGGTATTGAAAGCACTGACGTAGGCTGCATTCACACTTGAGTGTTTTGTAGTTTGAAGCTCAAAGCTTGAAGTTCCAAAAAAGCGCAAACTTAAAAAATCTATTGTTCTGTATGGAGCCTGTTCACGACTGATCACTGGAACAGGCACTATAGAGAACAATTGTTTTGTTAAGTTTGAGCAGTTTTGGAGCTTCGAACTTCAAGCTACAAAATGCTCAAGTGTGAATGCAGCCTAAAGTCAACAGTGCTTTCAGCATACACCAGTTGGAGGAAAGGAGAAAAGATATAATGTCCTGATTGTGGATAGACACCAGTTGGTAAGCCAGGCCAAATGGTAATGTGTCTGAGAGCAAGTCTGCATTGTCAAAAAGTGTACTTTTAGACATGCTACATTAGGTGTCTTCATTAAAGTGAACCTCTCAAGCAACTCACTGGGACCTGTCCCGTGACTTTAATGCTCATCTCCTGACATTCTTCTGTCCAAAAGGCAGCTCCAGTGGTTAGTTAGGTCACTCTCATTATACAATGGATTGGCAGTTAGCAAGATGGCAAAGAATTATGATCCAGTAATATAACAGCTAATGTGCTCAATCATGGGGTGAGGATGTTTTAGGCTAATGCCCTTAATCCTGACTTTTTCTTTAAATATTTAGAAAATGGCTGCCAAGTTTATTTTAACTGAGCTCTGTCCCAACCAAAATAAAATAAAAAATAGTTAGAGATAGATACTGCTGATAAAAATGTTTCAGCATTTGTCATTTCTAGAAATGCCAGATGTCTGGTCCTCTCTTGAGCACTGTTCATCACTACAGGACACAGTAGAGATGGAGGAAGCAGAGCCAGAAGTATATTTGATGCTGAAGCCTTTTTACTAACAGTAACTCAAAAGAACAGAGACTGGAAAAACTTCTTTTTAAATTTTGAACAGAATAAGGGAAGGTTATAACCCCTGTCAGTTTTTTTCCATCCCTTTTCTGCCCCATAGCCAAAGCAGGAAATGAGGGGAAATCCCTCCAAAGGGAAGTTATCCAGAACTGGTGCTGCCATGTGAAGATTTCCCCCTCTGTTCCTGTACTTGTGACAATCCAAAATGTGAGATTTTCTTTTACTTTCACTTCTGGTTATAATGATAAACTCACAAATAGAGAGGGTGAATCTCCCTAATGGGGACGTAGAAAATAAAGACCTGACAGGGGGTTCTAGTCCCTCTCTATCCAAAACATAAGTGTTGCCTTTAGTTCTTGTTTACATATTAAAAGCCTTCTTTTCCATGTTGCATTTTTCTGTTTTATTTTGGTGGTGACAGAGTCAGTTAATGTAAGTGCAGAGGACTGTATAGTAGCCACAGTGATATCACATACACTTGCAGGAAAGGTCTCCTGCATACTGATGTGCACAGAGGAACATCCTTCTAAAACCTACAGCCAATGTATGTTTGCAACTGTTATGGCGACAAACGTCAAGAACACCATCTTTGAGGTGTGCCAAATTCAGCTTTAAATGTTGCATTATGGATACATATGTATAAAACTGTACAGAATTCCTCTGGCTGTGAAGGAATTGATATCAATAGCATAGAAGATAAAGAGCATGTTATCATTTCATTGACTTGTTGTATTAGCATGCTGAATGACACAAACAAATCTCCAAGGCAATTCAAGCAATCAGTATCCACAGTTCAGGCTTTTTTTAATTAGCTAAAACATGAGAAACCCACTTGTATTATCCCCATGTTTCGCAGTCATCACCACTTCACTGACATACATAATGCAACAACCACAGGCACAGACCACGTACCACTTATATACAGCGCTAATTGTTTTATCTCCTCTTCATTGTTTCCTTAGCATAACATTTAGAATTCCTCTTAAAACCATCTTATATTTGAGACAAGAAGGATATCATTGCCAACTGTCATTAACTGATAGGGACTACATTTTCTGACACTAATTTTCACTGCATTTCATTACTTAAATAGAGAAGATACACATGGTATGGGAAAATATGGTTTACTAACATTTTTCTTTAATGAGTGGAATATGGCTACCCTTAGAGCTTACTATATCTAACTATACTATTCAGTGCTCCTACTCCTCGACCTCTCCGCGGCTTTCGACACAGTCGACCACCCCCTCCTCCTAAAAAAAACTACACTCCCTTGGCCTCAGAGATTCCGCTCTCTCCTGGCTCTCATCCTACCTATCACAATGCTCCTTCAGCGTTACTTATAACGCTACCACCTCCCCCTCACTCCCCCTCTCTGTTGGGGTCCCTCAAGGCTCTGTCCTCAGGCCCCTTCTCTTCTCCATCTACACCTCCTCCCTTGGCCAACTCATACACTCTCATGGCTTCAACTACCACCTCTATGCCGACGAAATGCAAATCTATCTCTCGACCCCTCGCCTCACCCCCTTAGTCTCCGCCCGAATCACAAGCCTACTGAACGACATATCAGATTGGATGTCGCTCCACTTCTTTAAACTAAACCTCTCCAAAACTGAGCTCCTAGTCTTCCCCCCAGCCCGCACACCACCCCCCACTGACTTCTCCATCACGTCCAACAATGCCACCATCAGGCCCGCCCCCCAAGCCAGAGTACTAGGTGTCATTCTAGACTCCAATCTATCCTTCCTGCCCCAAGTCCATTCACTGACAAACTCATGCAGACTCCACCTCCGCAACATCACCAAAATACGCCCATTCCTAACCCCAGAAACCACCAAGCAGCTCATCCACTCCCTCATCATATCACGACTCAATTACTGCAACTCCCTCCTCACTGGCCTGCCTCGCCACAGACTATCCCCACTTCAATCTATCCTGAATACGGCAGCCAGACTTATCCACCTTACCAACTGCTCTGTTTCTGCCACCCCCCTCTGCCAATCCCTCCACTGGCTTTCGATTGCCCAATGGATCAAATTCAAAATCCTAACACTGACGTACAAAGCTGTCCATAATACTGCCCCAAACTACATCACCGACCTAATATCCAAATACCACCCAAAACGCACCCTCCGCTCCTCACAAGACCGCCTTCTCTCTAGTTCCCTAGTCTCCTCCTCCCATGCCCGCCTCCAGGACTTCTCCAGGGCGTAACCCATACTCTGCAACTCCCTACCCCAATCCATCAGACTATTACCTACTCTTCTCTCCTTTAGGCGCACCCTGAAAACCCACCTCTTCAGGGAAGCCTACCCCACCCCCTGCTAATTCGTGACCTCCTCCACTCTTCCTACCACTCCATCCCCCACAGCTATTTCCTCCTGTACCACTATCCTCTACCTCCTAGATTGTAAGCTCCAAGGAGCAGGGCCCTCGAACCCCTCGTGTATCGCATTGTATTGTTATGGTACTGTTGCATGTTCTGTCTCCCATTGTAATGTACAGCGCTGAGCGAACTGTTGGCGCTTTATAAATACTGTATAATAATAATAATACACCAGGTTCCTCCATCTTGTTTATACCTCCAAGTTTTGTTGTTCTGTCCCATTCTGGTTTCCTACTTCCACACATAAGCATCACACCTCCTTAGTTACCTTAATGTGCCAGATCACCCTGGGTCATGCCTCTGCACTCTTGTAAATTATGCAGGTAGATTAATAAGATTAATAAAAATTGAACATTTAATTAAATTAATAAAATATTAATGGTATTATGTATTTAAGGATATATTTTTAAAAAGTAAAGTGCAGTAAAAAATGACCCTGTTTAATAGGAAACTGTTTTTTGGAATGTTCAGCGGTACAAGAGATGTACAGTGTCAGTTCAAGAATAATGTTAACACATATGTAGTAAATTGAACTATTGTGCAGATGGTATGTGTATGTGTGTATATATATATATATATATATATATATATATATATATATATATACTGTATATACACAGGGGTTAGACAAAAGATGGAAACACTACATGATTTTAAGGTGTGAAAGTGACAACACGTTTTTGCACTGAAAGCAGAAGTGACGTAACATTCTTTTGCTTCCGCTGTGTGATGAGACACCTAGCTAACAGGTGGGAAGCCTCACTTTCGTCATTCACTGTGTGCGCTGCTAGTAATATGGAGTTGTGTCAGAACTTACTGAGCTTCAAACAGTGCAAATTGTTGGTGCCCACCTAGCTGGTGCCTTTGTACCTGAAATTGTCAATATATTTGCCATGTCGCGAGGTATACTATTAAAGATTATGACGGCGTATACAGTTTCAGGGAAAATGGCGTCTGATAAGCATAAGCACGGTTAACATGGTCAATTGACTGAAAGAGACAAAAAGACAATGCTCAGTGTTGTGACCTGAAATAAGAAAACAACTGCTGTGAAAGTGACTGCAGAGCTTAAACACAAGTCTTCACGGCCCTATTCCTGGTCATAATCCTGCAAGTCATGTAGTGTTTCCATGAGGTTGATAAAATGAGGTTGATCAAAAAGCAGGATTGCTTTGAAACGTGTCCCTGTTTTGGGGTACACAGCGGTGACCACAGGAGGCTTTCAGTTCTTGGACTCTAGACCTTAACCTCCCTGGAGGTATTCCCGAGTGTAGCTCGGGGTAAAGTTTCAGCACCACAAGCAGTAACCCCGAGCTACACTCGGGAATACCCTGCAGCGTTGCTCCGGGATCCCTTCTGCACTTACCTTGTCCTTTGCCAGGGACATTGCAGGAGGGACATCAAGGGAGCAATGTCCTCCGGCCGATGCCGGCATCTGTCTTCTGGGTTCCGTTCTCTGCTACGTCAGGATGTACGGGGGACGGAACTGGCGGGAAATTTAAAAATGTGAAAAAGTGACATTCACTAAAATACACTAAAATCACATAGTAAAACATTACTGTATCAAACCATTTCACATACATTTTGTCCCTAGTGCTTTGTCCTGTGCCCTGCCTGCATTTTGACTGTTCTTTCTGCCTGGAAACTGAGAAATGTCCATGGCGTCCAAAAAGCGTCCCTTTAGGTCAAAAGCGGTTTTAGACCAAATAGAAAAGCGATAGTAAATCAGAACCACTTGCAGAATTGAGTGATAATGATTTGTGGGGAAATTCGTCATCAGACACTGAAAACGATTTTGCGACTTTGTTCAGTGATGTGTGAACTTGGCGCTATATTTCAAATTTCAGTGTTTTTGATTTGATTATATTATTGAATTAAATTTAGTATTATTATATTATTATTTTTTATGAATATTGATAAAATTATAATTTTTGATTTCGTGTTTCAAATTTTAACATACCCGGGATGTTTACTAGACTCTTGTTCGGACAGATTTCAGTGAGTTATTCCTAAAAATTACAGGCCTACAATAAAAAAAATACATATTTCCATGCAAAATAATGTACCGCTTTTAGCACAGAAATACAGACCGCTAGGGAGGCTACAGCAGCTCAATCCATCCCTGCTGGCAGTGTCATTTTCACTTCAGCCTGTGCTTTCCGCAGCCAGTGGCCAAAGCGGGGATCTGGGGGAACTCATACACTGACTTTAGACTTATCCTCCAAGCCACCTGACAAGCCTCTAAACTCCACAATTGTTTGTGAGTGCAACTATTGATTTTATTTTGTCCATTAAACTTCCTTATGCATGCTACACTATGGAATGAGTGCTCCTCTCTCTCCTTTTTTTACACAGGTTTTCAGCGTCAGCCCACACAGCTCAGCAGCAGCAGCCTTTGGACTGTTTTTTTAATCTGGGATACCTGCTTATATTTATATTCATATTGCTTTTTCACTGTTTGTATATATTTTTTATCATTTATTATATATATATATTGTTCTCTTGGATTGATTGATTTATTCTCAGCCTCATTTGTAGGATTTCATTGTTTTTTTTTCATCACACTCACACATTCCTAATCAGCTCTGACAATTGCTTAGCTTGTGGAGAGCCTTATTGGGCTCATCAAAGCTATTTAAATGGCAGGTGATATTTTCCTGGGGGTGAGCGCAGTTTTTTACACAGGTTTTCCTGTGTCTAGTTTCTGGAGTCAAGCTTTATTCTATTTGAGGTAGAATCATTATTTATTATGGGTACTTATTATATAGCACCTACATTTTACACAGTGCTTTACATATATATTGTACATTCACATCAGTCCTTGTCCTCAAGGAGCTTACAATACAATAAGGTCTCTAGCTCACATCCATACACACTAGGACCAATTAACCACTTGAGCTCCAGAGGATTTACCCCCCTAATGACCAGGCCTCTTTTTGCTACTCGGCGCTGCACTAATTCAACTGATAATTGCGCAGTCATGCAATGCTGCACCCAAACAAAATTTACGTCCTTTTTTCACACAAATAGAGATTTCTTTCGGTGGTATTTGATCATCTGTGCGCTTTTTATTTTTCACGCTATAAACAAAAAAAGGCCAAACATTTTGAAGAAAAACAATATTTTTTACTTTCAGCTATAAAAAATATATAGTAAACTCAAAGTTGGTTATAAATTTAGGCCAAAATGTATTCTGCTACATGTTTTTGGTAAAAACAAATCCCAATGAGTGTATATTGATTGCTTTGTGTGGAAGTTATAGCGTCTACAAACTATGGTATAGATACTGCAACTGACGCCATTTTTCTCCTATACAGCAGTGCGCTAGTTTAACGGACAATTGCGCAGTCATGCAATACGGTACATAAATGAAATTTACATCCTTTTTTTCCCCACAAATTGAGCTTTCTTTTGGTGGTATTTGATCGCCTGTGCGGTTTTTATTTTTGCGCTATAAAAAAGAAGGCTGACAATTTTGAGGGAAAAAAACAATATTTTGGACTTTTTGCTATAAAACATGTCCAGTAAAAAAAAAATGCAAAAATCAAATTTAGTCATAAATTTCTGCCAAAATGCATTCTGCGACATGTCTTTGCAAAAAAAAAAAAACGTGTAAATTAATTGGTTTACGTGAAAGTTATAGCGTTTACAAATGGCGGGAAAGATACTGGGATTTTTAGTTTTTTTTTATACTAATAATGGCGGCGATCAGTGAATTATAGTGGCGATCAGTGACTTATGGCAGCGACCAGCGCGTGCCCCCTATTTGTTTACAAAACACACGTTTTAAAACGTGGTTTTGCCTGCCAGTGCTGCCCTGCCGCTGTATTTCTACAGTGGCTGGGCGGCAAGTGGTTAAGATAGGAGCCAATTAAACTAACAGCATGTCTTTAGAGTGGGGGGGAAACCCACTCAGGCATGGGGGAAAACATGTTAACTCCAGGGAGGTAGTGCCATGGTTGGGACTCAAGCGAATAACCCTAGTGCTGGCGGAAGTGCTAACCACTTAGCCACTGTGCTGCCCAGTTAAAGGTAGACTTTAATTCTTAAGGTCTAGTTTTTGCTGTTAAAACACACACATTTGTACTCAAAGGCAACATAATTATTGTTCTTTGTGAAAATTAAAACTTAGATATAGGTCAATACTCTTTCACTTTCCTTCAAAAATGATAAAATTCATGTAGCTGCTGCATGAGGCTCTTGCTTTAGACAAAAGGGTCCATCATTTAAAAAAAAATAATAATTGTACTCAAGGTGCCCAGACATTATACATTCAAATTCACTCAAATCTTTGTATGACCTAAAAGTGTAAAGATAAGATTGAAATGAAGTTCTCAGATCAACAGACTCAGAATCATTTTGGTGCGCAAGTTGATTTCCTCTGTTGTACTCTGTAAATAGATCTTCTTGTTGCTACTCGTCTCTTCCAATCTGTCATCTCACACTCATGGAATGCTGGTGTAATGGATCATGAACACAATACATTAGAGATGTTTAGAAATGTCATTTTAGCTGTAGCCTCCACAATTATTAACCTGATAAACTTGCATATTAGTCTTGGTCCAAAGAATATGAGACAGTATGAGTTCTTCTAGGCCAGTACTTCTCAGGTATGTAGCTAAGAATGCAAACAGATTGTATACGTACAGGTTAATAAACTGCCTCCTGCTAGGTGCTGAAAGCTGCAGTAATTATATTGATTTGCCCAGTGCTTCCCAGGCATTCCTCACATGCTTCCCTAAATCCTCCTTATAAAACGCCTTGTTTAAAGGGATACAATGTTGTAAGGCATGGAAAATAAAGTACATAATATGTACATTCTTATAACAAGATATAACTATATCTACCTTTGCTACCTGCTACTTTCAACATCAGCATCTTTCCTAGTTGTGTAATGTCTAGTTCATAATGCTTTCTCATGTATTATAGTCAGAAAATAATGCAGCACCATAGAAATAGCTGTTTTTGTTAATTTTTGTTAAACAACCAACACCTTAGTCACTAGTGCTATAAAAGAGAGGAAAAGTCCTAGATAGAGAGAATTATAATCATAAACGTGTGATGGTAGAAAAAGGCACAAGTAGTCCATTGAATCTGCCCTTTTTAGGAGGGGTGTTTAAACTTTTTGTCTAAGTATAGACCTTGCTCATCCCATTCCCATTCATAATTGGGTTTTGGTCTTTTAAGGGTTCAGCAGCACCAACACTTCAAACTTTTGTTGCCCTTGCCAGCAACCTATGCTGCTTAGTGTAAACAGAAAGATCATGCCCAACTTTTTAAGAATGCTGCATTGTATGGCAGTGGGATAAGTATGTTCTTCATTTGTAACTGCACTAAAATTAGTGTAGATTCTTCATCAGTCACTATATCATCACCCACTATCACCCGGGGTGTTTGATTCCTTAGGTGACAGACATTCTAAATGATACTTAAAGAATAACTTTACTCTCAGTAAGGTAATCCATAAAGTGTAAGTTCACCTTTTAAAAAAAAAAAAAATGACCACGTGACCAATCAGAATTTTTTTGAAAAGGTAGAAATGGCTAACTTATACTTTAAAAGTTAAGCATGGACTTGTAAAAAAAGAATCATGCTTACTTAGGTAGATGCAGCATCAATCCAATGCTGTATCTGTCCACTGCCAGCTCTGCAGTGAGAACTGGATGATCAAACACCACTGATCGCTCAGTTCTCCCCTCTGCTTTGAGCAGAGAGCTGTGACTGTCTGTCACCGACTCTCTATTCTTCCCCTCCAGCATTCACTGAAGCGCTGGGCTGTGGAGGGTGCGGGCTGGGTTGGCTCAGGCTCTCAGCAGATCATTGAGAGGCTGAGCCAGGTGCTGCTCCAGGCTTCTGGACTGGTTCCAGTCCAGCTTGGACCAGCTCTGTACTTTCAACCGACAGCAGGCTTTAGCCCTTTGTCGACTGAAAATGGGTTCATTCTGCACTCCTGTTACCTACAGGATAAATATAGCCAAAAGAGCTTTGGATACACCTCTTTTGTAAAGCCTAAGTTTACTAAAAAAAAAAACATTAAAAGTGAGTGTACTTACATCAAAATGCAGTGTTGCTTGTGCTGTTTTATTTGAAATCTAAAGTCCTCCGATCCCCCCCCCACACACACACACACACGCGCACACACACTCTTGCAGCTTTAATCTTCTGGTGCTGAGAAGGTTAATAGGAGCCAAGGGACCTGTCATAGGAACTTGTCAAGAGTGCCAACCATACCCACCCTTTCTGCCCACCATTCATAAAAGCTGTACTATAGCTTCCATCAATAGAAAGCAATCTATGAATGGAGGATGGGTGGATGAAAGGTCCAGCTCCCCCATTCACATATTGTTTTTCATTGTAAGCTATAGCACCACTTATATGAATGGAGGAGGTCCCGAAAAGGTGAGCATAGTCAGCACTCTGAAGGAGTGCCTATGACAGGTCCCTTGGCTTATATTAACCCCTGAAGATTATGGCTATGGAGGTGGAGGGATCATAGGAATTTGGATTTCATCTAAAACTGCAACCAGCAGCTCAAATGACACCTCACGTTGATTTCAGTACTGTCCCTTGCACTGATTTTTTAAAAATGTGATTAAACTTAGCTTTAGGACTAGACTCCCTATCCATAGAAATCAAAAGAGATTGTTGCACAAATGTGCAGAAGGAGCAAAGCCTTGATGGGAAGCAACCTGATGGACCACAAAGCAAAGATCTTGGCAAAGCTGATATGTGTGTGCAACACTTGGTAGGGGTCCTAGGGAAGATTTCTGGCCCTAATAGGAAAAAC